AAGGAAATCTCTCAGCATTCATGGTCTTTGAGAGGGTCACTGCACCACAGAAAGAACAGCTGGAGAAAGGGGTCACCTGATGAAAAGACAAGATGCTGAATTTAAGTCTTAGACTAACATGTTGCAGGGAGAAACATTCCTTTAAGTTAGGTGAGGAAAAAAGGTCTCTATACTTAATTACTTGGGCACTTTTAGGAAAATGCATAATAAGCAAATTCCTCAATTAAAGGATGTTATTTTCTATAAGGAAACTATGTAACCAAGTCCTTTGGTCCTCATCAGAACAATCAGATGTCTGTCAATAATTTACCCTTGATGATTCCCATTGACTCTTGTAATGAATTAGGGACAAAGCAATTGAATATAAGTGGGCTGAAATAAAAATCAGGAACGTACTACATTAATGCACATGAGTTGTAGTTGCTTGGGATTTATTGTGCTTGATAAATAGTTTTATTTTCAAAGTCTACATGTACCATGAAGCAATTAATCTCATCTGTGAGAAAGACCCAGATGGCCCTCAGATAAGTCACTGAAACCTTTCCAGAAAAATATAGGTGATTAGACCTCCAAATGACTTTTTTCTATATGTAGTTATTACATATTATTCAAATATGTTTACCAGCCAAGTGTTTATTTTTGAGGAACTAGAGTGGAGTTATCTATAAAGTGCCTTCACCTAAGTAGCAAGTCATAGATGATAGCAGCCATATAGATGATTATGAAACAATGAGGGAGAGAATATTGAAAGGCACTCACTAATGATTTTCAACAATGGCAAAATGAATGAAGGAAAAGAAATGCCATTGAACACGTTTGTCTCAAAGTTATAGAAAAGTTATAACTGGGCTGTAATAAAAAAATCTTTATTACACATCATTCACGACACGAACAGTCCATGATAAGATAAAAAGCATGATGCCTTAAAATGCAATAAGGTGTTTCTTCATTGGTTTTTATTGCTGTTACTGTTTCCAGGGGCTTCAGAGAGAAAGTTTAGGGCCCGATTATGAATTTGATTCAATATTCTGGAAGTCCAGGCTCAACAATGGTGGGTCCCTGGAGTCAAGCCAGAGCTATGCAGATTGTGGGACAGGTGTCTGCTGATGGCCCAGGTCAGGAAGTGTGGTTAGAGAGGCAAGTCTAAACTGGCCCAATCTTCCATGACCTTGAGGGCAGACCTCAGTGTTTCAGTGCAATTGTTCATCTTTATCTCCCCTACTAAGGACAGGACCAAGGTGATATTCATCATTTTATTCTCAGGACACGGGACAAAGTAGACTCTAGGTATATCTGTTGATGATGAAATGTAGTTTATCCCCATGTGTTTTATTACCCCCACTCTAGTTTTCTTAGTGTAATAGAGCTACTCTTTTGTCTTAGTTCTTGTATTTAAAAATAGTTTTTGCTTGTTTTTTTTCTTTTTCCTTCCAATCCTTCTAATTGTTTTGAATTCTGAACTTAGGGGCCCGTGATAATTTGCATAGTTGTTTCCGATCAAATGTTGTATCTCGTATCTTGCACTGACTCACAATCATTCACTGCTAATGTCTAAATCGGAGAAGTGAAAAGGACAATTGTTTAGTGCTTTTTTAAGTCCCTGACCAAGATCAGTAGGGAAATCCCATTAGCTCCATTCATCGCATTTCTCATAAATCTAAAAGGAAAGCAAGTATCCAAAGCCTTATTCTTTAATAGTTCTTATTTGTAAAACCTTGACAGGGCTTTATTCTAAATTGCTTCCAAATTACGTAAAGAATACTGAGAAATATGATGAGCAGTGAATCGTGATAACTTCAGCCATCGAGTAAATAAGTAGAACAGTAGAAGGGACTAATCTGAAAGCAAACATTATGATGGGCCACGAAGAAGCAAAAAGAACAGAACTGTGGAATTCTTAAACTACCATCTGGCTCAATCTTTCAGTGGGCAAGCTGAAGAGGCTTTTATTCAGCGCTCTAAAACTTATTCAAAAGGAGCAGTATTTGAATATTAATATTTTCATATAATAAAAAAAAAAGAAGAAAAAGGAAAAAGAAAATCTTTTGTAACCAAAAAGGAATGTTTAACAAAATAATGGGGTAATCCTCTGGCTAAAAAAAGGCCTGGGGAGAGTCCTGTGGGTGGGAGGTCTGCAGGCAGAGTGGCCCAGGCCATAGGCAGCTCTCAGCCCTCACCTCCAAAGCTTCCTTGTGGTTAGAGTCACTTATTAAAGTTGTCATTGTGGCTTGAAATTTAGGCAAGAGGTGTAAAATTAAGGAACTCATTAAGAAAAACAAATGCAATGATTTTGTTACCTTATTTCATCATAAAGAAGGTTGAGTTGCCCTGTGGTATAACTGAGGCAAGAGACATGGTAGAGATTGTAAACTGTACTTGAAATTGTCCAATTGTCCTTTTGTGAAACATGAGCCTATTTCATCACTTTGGAACAGACCCCTAACAATTGCTGTTTTGCTTATTAAGCCCTGGATTTTTAAATGAATTGTGAGGCTTTTATTTTGTTTTCCTGAGGTGTGTTTGAAAAGTTGGATAAATATGAGTCCACTATTTATCTTGAGCAAAGATGCATTAGAAAAGGTATTTTAGCATTCTCCATGGTTTAAAAGACAAAACCAAGTCCTGCCGGCTTTGTGTTGTGCTTTTCTTACAGGCTGCAGTGCCTTCTGTCTGCTTTAGGGTGTGGCATCTGCCATTGGGGAAGAAAAACTGGCATGTGTCCCCTTTTATAGCAGACTGATTTCATTGTGTGGGGGCTTTTTTTTCCCTCTTGGTTGCAATCTTCCAGTTGACTTGCTGAAGCAATAGAATTAAATGAGATTTCAACTTACATACTTTTTTTTTTTTTAGTTTTGTCATTTTCTGATATGAAAAAAATATTTGTAAGCAAAGGGCTAGAGCTGAACTTGGTGACTCATTTTCCCTTTTAGGATTTGTTATGAAAATAAGTGGCAACACATGGCTACCCTTGTATGAATTGACTTTTGATATATTTATCAATTTGAAAAAATGCACTTTTATGATTATATGCATATAATTTGACTATAAATGTCTAAAATATAAATATGTAATCGATTTTAGAATATATGTATAGACACACATAACACGTATATTTATATTTGCATATGAAAAACTTTAAAAATTCAAGTTATGTGGTGTAACGTGTATAATCAGTGTGTATATGAATATATAAAAAGAGAAAATTCAGGAAAAAAATGTCAGACAGACATACTAACAAAGATGTAGTATTCTCCTGGCAAAAACTGATGAATGACTTGGCATGAATTCATCTTACAGTTCTGCTATTCTCTCTTACAAATGATATACCCCATTTTCCAGTTGTTTGCATAGAATTGCAATTTGTTGTTTCTACACTCTATAATGACCCTTGGGTGTGCACCTGATTCCCGCTCCCCACCAATTAGTCAACAGCTTTTTCCATCTATCGTTTTCTTTTTAGTTGTGTAACATATTGGAGCTTAAACTAGCAAACAACCGCTGTACTTGCAATCAACTATGAAAAGCTGAAGAATGAAATGATTTTGGAAAACTACCCTGTACTAAAATCTTACGTATTATTTCTGTCAGCATGACCTCTGGGAGCTCAAATGCTTTCTCTCAATGACAAAGGTGCCCACCTAAGTACAACTGAGCCAGTGCTTATGTAACAAGTCTTGCTATTAAAGATCTTCAAAATGTTGCTAGTGATAGATTCTTAATAAAAAACGTCAAAACATTATATGGTGATAAAACAACAGATTATTTTTTAGAGATCAAGGCATAGAGTATATCTAGTTTAGGATTAGATTTGACTATCATTACTGATCTTATATTTATTAAATATAATGTCTATTTTGTTTTATTTAGAAATGAACTCACATCAAGAGGTTAATTGCACATATTAACCTCTGAAATATAACGAAAAGGGTCATGTGGATTTATGAAGATATTAGATAAAACATAGCTGTCTCTATTAGGGCACCAGCAGTTAAACGTTAGTGTGGGGTGCATGACACACCACTCTACACATTGTGAGGACATGGAAGTGCAATGTAAGAAAAATACTCTTCTGGGAATACTTTGAGTTTCATACCTACTCCAGGTTCTTTAACAAGAGTTATATAAACATTACCTATGGGACAGTTGTAGTCAAATCTTAAGCATTTATTGAGCTCCTGCTGTGTACAGGGCATAGAGCTCTTGGAACACGGCTAACCTTCACTTACAGTCGTCCCTAACGTTGCAATTGGAAGAAGTTATGAGAATTAGCTGATGGCCCGAACTCAAGGCACGGAGGCCAACGCTGTGGGAAAATTACATAACTCCTGGGAGAGACAGTGCTTTTGCTCAGACTGCCCAAATATTTTCTTTCTCTGCCGGCTGCTCGAAACCTCCGAGGCCATCGGAGAACTTTGTCCCCAGCCCCTCTCGCTCTTTTGTCTGCTCGTCAGACTCCTTTTCCGCCTGGGTCTCGCTCCTCGCAGACGCGAACGCCAACACCGCCGCCGCCGGCCAGGAGACCCGCGAGAGCCAGCGCGCAGCCCGGCCGCCCGCCGCCGGCCCCGAGCGCCGCCGCGGCCCGACCCGGGCTGCCGGTGGGTCCCCGCGAGGCTGCGCCGGGCGGCGGCGCCCGGGGCCGAGTCCAGTCCGCGTTTTGCGAGTGCGCAGGAGTAATCGGAGAGAAGTGGATAATAGTTGTGGCTCGCTCGCTCCCCGCGTGCCGCGCTGGGCCCGCAGGCTCGGGCGGCCGCGTATTTACCCATATCCGGGTTAGGGAGGAAAAGAGAAAAGTTTCATTTAAACCTGAACCCCAAACTTTCACCGTGAAAGCACACAGCGGGAGCAGGCCCAGACCGTAAGGCGTGCCCGCGCGGCTCCCGCGGGCCTGCAGAGGGGGAGGGGGTCGGCGGCGTCCCGGCGGGCCGCGTGGATGCGCGCAGGAGGGGCCGCGGACTAAAAAGTGGGGGCATTGTCTCCCCCCGCCCCCCGCCCGGCCGCGCCACGCCGCGGCGATCATGGCCGCGCGGGCAGCAGCGGCGGCGGCGGCACGGGCGGGCAGCGGTGAGCGGCGGGCGCCCCCCGGGCCGCGGCCGGCGCCCGGGGCCCGGGACCTGGAGGCGGGGGCGCGCGGCGCGGCGGCGGCTCCGGGACCCATGCTGGGGGGCGGCGGCGACGGCGGCGGCGGCCTGAACAGTGTACACCACCATCCCCTGCACCCCCGTCACGAACTGAACATGGCCCATAGCGCGAGCGCCGCGGCCGCCGCCGCCAGCACTAACAGCGCCAAGAGCGGCGGCTCCGAGGCGGCTCTCAAGGAGGGTGGAAGCGCCGCTGCGCTGTCCTCCTCCTCCTCCGCGGCGGCGGCGTCCTCCTCTTCCTCCTCGTCGGGCCCGGGCTTGGCCATGGAGACGGGGCTGCTCCCCAACCACAAACTGAAAGCCGTTGGCGAGGCCCCCGCCGCGCCGCCCCACCAGCAGCACCACCACCACCACCATGCCCACCACCACCACCACCATGCCCACCACCTCCACCACCACCACGCACTACAGCAGCAGCTAAACCAGTTCCAGCAGCAGCAGCAGCAGCAACAACAGCAGCAACATCCCATTTCCAACAACAACAGCCTGGGCGGCACGGGCGGCGGCGCGCCTCAGCCCGGCCCCGACATGGAGCAGCCGCAACATGGAGGCGCCAAGGACAGTGCCGCGGGCAGCCAGGCAGACCCCCCGGGCCAGCCTCTGCTGAGCAAGCCGGGCGACGAGGACGACGCGCCGCCCAAGATGGGGGAGCCGGCGGGAGGCCGCTACGAGCACCCGGGCCTGGGCGCCCTGGGCGCACAGCAGCCGCCGGTCGCCGTGCCCGGGGGCGGCGGCGGCGGCGGCGGCGGCGGCCCGGCGGCCGTCTCGGAGTTTAATAATTACTATGGCAGCGCTGCCTCTGCTAGCGGCGGCCCCGGCGGCCGCGCTGGGCCTTGCTTTGATCAACATGGCGGACAACAAAGCCCCGGGATGGGGATGATGCACTCCGCCTCAGCCGCCGCCGGTGCCCCCAGCAGCATGGACCCCCTGCAGAACTCCCACGAAGGGTACCCCAACAGCCAGTACAACCATTATCCGGGCTACAGCCGGCCCGGCGCGGGCGGCGGCGGCGGCGGCGGCGGAGGAGGAGGAGGCAGCGGAGGAGGAGGAGGAGGAGGAGGAGGAGGAGGAGCAGGAGCAGCAGCAGCAGCAGCAGCAGGAGCGGGAGCTGTGGCGGCGGCGGCCGCGGCGGCAGCAGCAGCAGCAGGAGGCGGCGGCGGCGGCTATGGGGGCTCGTCCTCGGGGTACGGGGTGCTGAGCTCCCCCCGGCAGCAGGGCGGCGGCATGATGATGGGCCCCGGGGGCAGCGGGGCCGCGAGCCTCAGCAAGGCGGCCGCCGGCGCGGCGGCGGGGGGCTTCCAGCGCTTCGCCGGGCAGAACCAGCACCCGTCGGGGGCCACCCCGACCCTCAACCAGCTGCTCACCTCGCCCAGCCCCATGATGCGGAGCTACGGCGGCAGCTACCCCGACTACAGCAGCCCCAGCGCGCCGCCGCCGCCGCCGTCGCAGCCCCAGTCCCAGGCGGCGGCGGCGGCGGGGGCGGCGGCGGGCGGCCAGCAGGCGGCCGCGGGCATGGGCTTGGGCAAGGACCTGGGCGCCCAGTACGCCGCTGCCAGCCCGGCCTGGGCGGCCGCGCAACAAAGGAGTCACCCGGCGATGAGCCCCGGCACCCCCGGACCGACCATGGGCAGATCCCAGGTAACCCCCGCGCCGGCCAGGCCTGCTTCCGCCCGGGGCCTCGCGCGCCGGAGCCCGAGTTTCTTTCTTTGCCGGGTACTTTTCGCGTCTCTCGCGGGGGCGGCGGGGGCGCGGCGCCAGGGCCATTTCCTCGCGCGGCCGCCTCCCGCCCGGCTCGGCGCGCCCCGCGCCCGCCGCGCTGTCCGGGCCGCGCGGGGCCGCGCCGGGCGGGCCGGGGCGCGGACCCGCACCCTCACCGCCTCGGCGAGCCCAGGCCCCGGGACGGGCCACCATCCCAGGCCCGCCGCGGGGGAGCCGAGCGGGGCGGCTGGTCTGGGGTACCGAGCGGATCCGCGCTGGCAGCGCCGGCAGCGTGCCCCGACCGGGCCGAGAGGGAGAACTTTCTCCCTCCTTCGGCCGCTGCGTCGCCCTCGGCTTCCGAGGTAAGGGCAGGCAAGAGAGGGGAGCCCTGTGACAGCGGGGCTGCCCGGCCAGAGCGTTCGGTGCGGGCGTGGAGTTTGAACGTTTGCTGGCAGGAATGAGGCCAGTGTGCAGCGGCGTGGAGGGAAGCAGTCGATGGCTCCCGAGCACGGCCGGGGAAATCCATTATCGGGCTCTCGGGCTGCCTGCAAGGAGTCACCTTCAGCCGGGAGGCTGTGTTAAAGGAGCACATTCCGGATCGATTGAACTTATTTTTGATCATGGATTAGGCATACGTTTTATTCAGTATAGCTAGTGAGTTTAGACCTGTGAAAATGGATCTTTTCGGATCGTATTTATTTGGATTTTCTTTATTTTGCTGTCACCCAAGCCCTACAACGCTATTAGGAAGCGCCCTGTACTCTTGCTGTTTCTTGCTGGTAGGCTGAGCCTAAAGACTGACTTGATCTCCTTTGCAAGGTTTGGAATTTGAATTGTGGAGGTAAACTGGCTGTAATAGTCTCCAGACAGCTGCCTCTGAGTTGACATCTAATCTGCCATCTGATTGGCTCCCCTCTCACCATTGGGCATTTAGCACTGCTGATGTAAATAGAAGTGCTGAGCAGTACAGTCACAAAAATTCTTGCCACAAATAATAACTCTATTACAAGCAGATGGAAGGTGGAATATTATTTAGAGCTTAAATTGTTATGAATCATAGTTATTAATAAGAGGATTAAATACAGAAAAACATTATGCTGGGGTTCAGTATTGAACATTTACAAAACTCAGATCTTTGACAATCTAACAATATGGACATTTTATGTATCATGGACTTTATTTGTAGGCTGAAGATTGGACCACTAAAAAGTAATTAAACCACAAATTGTACCAATTTTTGGATTTGCCAAGCATTTATAAAAGACTGCTCTTTACAAATTAAACAGTGAAAGAATTTTTGAGTGTATCAGCATTCATAATATAACAAAAAATTTTAACATCCCAAAACGCAGCATCTTTTGGTGGTATTTAATATGACAAGATTAAAGCTACACATTTTTTAGTGATTTGTGTTTTAATAATTGTGACTGTTTTAAGACGCTTATGGATAAGGAGTTTTACTTTGAATTGGCGTATTTAAAAAGAACGAAATGAGAAAACCATAATTTTTGCAGTGGACAATTAGTTAAAATAGAAACTATGGATATCCCTGTGAAATGCTAGGAATCATTTTGTATTTGTTTTTGATTTGGACAATTTAGGAATCTTTTTCTTTGATTACTTTGTTAGGTGACAAAATAGGTTAGCATTATTTAAACTGCTTACACAGTGAATTATTTAAACTGCATTATAGACAAGTTGTATTGGGTGTTTCTTCCAAATAATCTTTCTTTCATAGACATCTTAATGCTATGAAATCTTTAAAAATTCTAATCTGTTAAAAGGGAATAACAGTGATGGTTTATATGATTTTAGTTAGCTCATTTGTTTTAGGAAGGTGTATTTAAATAATAATAGTATATTAGAGGAAAGAATTGTTAGAGCCAGGAAAGGCCTAAATTTAAGAAATCATCATGTGAATGTTGGTTTAACATCTTTGGTTAATGGAGTTTTCCTTTTAATGGTAGTGTTTCCTATTCTTGATGAAAATATTGTGATTTCAGTTTTTATTTTTGATTCATACAAGTACAAATATTAAAGAGAAATATAAATAAACCCATGTAATTAATTTTTAAAAGATTTGCTTTGTCAGCTTGTTTTTAAAGGGGTTGTCTAAAATTGTCATCTTTGTAAACTACAAACAAATGAAGTTAGAGGCATATTTAGGTCCATGTTACTTTAAAGTATTATTTTTTAATGATACCAATCATTTTAAATATTTTGATTTCTTTTAATGAGAGTGAGTCCATTTTGTCCTCAGTGTGATCCTTGGGAATAGCTTTTTATCTTTGAGGGGGAAAACGACAGAACATACGACCTCGATTCACAGATTCTTTTTGGTACCTAACTAATAACATGTGGAATGTCTTTTTCATATTCCCCCCCTTTTCTTTTTGGAAGGTTAGTGTTATTTAGTATTTGTTATATGATAATTATTAGAAACAGTCATTTGTCGAAAGTATTAAATTACTACCTGACTATAGGTCATAAAATGTTATTAAATCATTTTGTTAAGTAATGAAAAAAAAATTTGAGCTTGAATATATTTAGTTTCATTTTTGATTTTAAGAAATGGTTTATACTGGGTAGCAAATGTTTTTGTAATTGGGAATAAAGCACATTGGAGGGAGTCTTTAGAGTGAAATAAGTCATTTTATGATTGAGTTTGTTACTGGATTTTTTTGAGATAAGTATTCAGATAGAGCAGTCTTAAAAGGAACACTGAGGTCAGCTCATACATAGAGATTTTATGATGTCCACGTTTGTGTTGAATTCCATTCATGCTATTTTATTTTCATTTTTATAGAATTTAATACAATGTAATAATAAAGAGTCTTACCATTAAAAGAGAAGTGATTAGCTGGCTTTACAAAGCAGGAATCAGCAAACTTATTACTGATTACCTTAAGATGTGCATAAGATACATTGTATCTTAAGATTATCTGCTTACTCCCCTATGAAATTTTAGGTTATTTGATATTTTAAATCTTATAAAGATTTTTGTGGCCTAAATTTGCCACAGAAGGTATATATAGGTGAAACTGGTGATTCATACAAAAGGCCTATCATTTTAAAAAGAAAATGTAGCAAAATGTTTACACTTTTCTGTTTTTCTGTTATATGGGATAAAATTATTTATGGCTTAAAATTGTTTTTATTGGGAATCCTGATTTTTGTGCTACTTGATCTTTTCGGTCTTTTTTTTTTTTTGGTGGTTGTTGTTATTGTTGTTTTCTTAGTGGTAACCACCATTAGACAGCTATCACTTAAATTTATGTTTACATTAATACTAAATCATTGAGTACCTTCTAGGGAACAACACATTCTTACCTTTGGTCTGTAGTGGGAAACCGGAATCCTTTTTTACTTTGGTTTATTTGTCTGCTTTTAAGAAAGAGTTTTTGACCAGGTTTTTAATATATTTGTTCCATTTTTCTCAACATTGTATTGCCTCAGAAGTGTGTTATGGATATGGAAATAATGCAGACCATACTTGGACACTTTGATTAATGTACTTAACCTCTAAATCTTGTTCCTTTACTATACTTTTAATGAAGAGAAAAGCATCCTTACTCCAGTATAAAAATACTATGAATTCTGGTTTGAGAACCAATTTAAAAAATATAAGACAATGTCCAGTAAGACTTTAATATAAGCTCATTTTAGTTTCCCTAGAAGGACTTCTTTTAAAGAAAGCAGGTGTAATAGAATGGGGTGGAAATTTTGGCTCTATTTCTTATTAATGGCTTTTATTCCTGTATAATTTGGAATTGGGTATATTTAAAAGGACAACTTCGGATGTGATAGGAACTGACCTCATTGCAAACGGTGAGGATCGGCTGGTTTGCTTAACCCGTTCCTCTCCTAAGAGGCGGGTGGTTTGATTTACATTTGGTTGAGGCCCAAGACATTTTTTTCCTCATTTTGTGGGCTGATGGGTGATGCAGATTTGGATTTGGACTAGAGCTGTTTTAGTTTATGCCGGTCCTGGATCAGGAGGCGTTTCTCACTGTATACTAGCTGATGATCCCCAGGTCCTGGATCTGTGTGCTTTGAGCCATATTTTGTGCAAAGGGACTGAGATTTCACTCGTGTCACTTTCATTTTGGCTTGTGTGTAGATGTTCATTTAAGGTTGATATTTTTGTTTGATAGAACTGTTATGTGTTTCTGAAAAACCAGAGATTTTTGGAGGCTGAAGTTAATATTGGTAAAACTCAACACTATTAATTTTTTTTGCAATATTTAGATTTTCAAAATGGATGTTATAAAAATTTTGTGACATTTTACAATGCTGTGACCAAATCCCACCTCTTAGGCTTTTTTGACTTTGGCTAGTTTTCAGTTGTGTCCTTTCTTAGAGGTGTCTTTCCTCCAACAGGAGGCTTTTGCGAGAGTCTCTGTGGACCTGGAAAGCTGAGCTGTGCACACTTGCTGTGTGTGCTGCTCCAGGCTGAGGAATCCCAAATCCTAGTTCCTTGCAGTGTGGGGGAGGAGCACTAAGCAGAAGTTTGTAGCCACCACGAGTGTGTTTACATTTCACAAACCTAGAATGCAGTACTGTATTGTTTTTTTCTAGTTTGGAGGTTATTTGCACAAGAGTAAATTGTCCTTTTTGGTTTAATGGGGGTGATTCAGTAAATTAATTCTGATTTTGGTATACTTTAGTGACTTTTTCTTTTAGAAATTTGATGTAAAGGAAATAATTTAGGTGTCATTTGTTATCATTATCTGCCTGTACATAAGCATATATTATTTTACCCTATGGTAACATCTACATATGTTGTATTATTGGTTTACAACCTATAGTTTTAATGATTCATATTAACTGAATAAGTGAATTTATCAAAATACCATACATGAGTCCACAGTATGTTTTCAACAAACATATTTTACTTTCAAAGTTTTTAACCTATAGTAATAGCAAGAAAATATTTCCTT